ACTCAGCAATAACGAAGCACTTGCCCTCGTTTGTTTCACTAGAGAACTTGCGAACGATCATGCACGAATTGCGAAATGACCCGAGAAATGACCCATAGCAAATATATTTAAATTGCTAATCTCCTAATGGCATTGAAACTTGTTTCAGATGTGCGGCTAGCGGTCTAATCTTTTGTTGTTACGCACTCCTTGGGAACGTTCTCAGTCATTTCTCATTTACATCTAAAGTGAAACCCCGGGAATAGAACGTGCCTGTACTAACGCGGCTCTCCGTATTAAGCATGTCCCCGGCGGGTCACCTTTTATTTTTTCAAAACAAAATACTAAAGAAATAAAACAGGACATATTTATAAACATCGTCAAATTAACCAACTTTTGCCTTCAAAGAGCCCTCATTCCGCGGACTATGTCCATGGAAACGCTCGAGTCGCTCATTTTATTCCACGACATATGCTATCTTGTTAAAAAGCTAAATTGTGTCGTCGCATGAACTCAGGATGAACTGAATTAAAAAAAAACTAATGGCATAGTTGTGTGGTATTGAAACTGTTTTTCTGCAGGGATGGGCACGGATTGAAACTTGAACTACAGTATTTATTCGAATAAGCGCTGAACCTCGAATTAGCGCCCACCTCGAATAAGCACCCATACTAAAGGCAGAAAAATGAGTTAATAAGCGCCCACCCCACCCCACCTCCCTCTCACTCCCACTCAAATAAGCGACCACCCCCACCCCAACCCCCAAAAATTGAATAAGTACTACTAAGAGACTTAACTTCCCCAAGAGGGAGTTTTCTTCAGAGTATTTTAGAGGAACCTTGTGTTGTTACCTCTTCGCTTTTTGTTATTACCATTTATTATTTTGTTGTCAAATAAACATACTACTCTTGCTGAAAATGTTGAAAATTTAATAAGCGCCTAGCCCCGAATTAGCGCCCACTCTCACTGAGGTCCAAGAATTTAATAAGCGCACAGGGCGGTTAATCGAATAAATACAGTAGTTGGGCCAACTTTTCCTCGTGACATAGGCCCCGGCCTTCAATCAAAAGCCGTTCTCTGCATATCTCGTTTAACGCCAAATTAGTCTGAAATTAACGCCTACAATTCATCTTATCCCGTTTACTGTAGAGCTGGGAACATAGACATGATGTCAATTGAATCGCCCTTCCCCCCCCCCCCCCCCCTTCCATGTAAGGGAATCTAAGACAGTTCCACGTCACGGATTCCGGATTGCAGGTACTGGATTCCACTCTTTGTCAGTGGAACTTGGATTCTGGATTCCAATCGCTAGTGGGATTCCGGATTTTTTTATGAGCTGCATTTCAGATTCCACAAGCAAATTTTTCTCGGATTTCGGCCGATTCCACAAGCCAAACTTTTCCGGATTCCAGAATCCGGATTCCCTTACATGGGGCGAACTGAATGTTTCTTTTTTTTTACCTTCTACACAGAAAGGTTTATTACTGCATACAGTTGACAATGAAGTGTCCGCTCTAGGGAGGTTACTTTTTGTGAGAATCAGTTGATTGGGCAAGAAACAAGTGTCCGTTGTCCGCATTATTAAGCGGGTTGAATTGAAAGAAATGGTAAGGCATTTCCCCGTGGACAAAGAAAAGTATCCATAACAGGACATGAGGTGCCCGCATTAGTGGGTGTCCGTAAAGTGCGGTACTCATCACTCCTGTTTTTCCATTTCCATACAGACTGATACAAACTACTGTTCTCATATATAACTCCATTTATTCATTAACCTCCTTTAAGATTTTACAGACGTCACTAATAAACAGGTAATCGACAAAGTTATATATACAAGCATGACATAAAAATAACCAAAAAGACCTGTACAGAAGTCCAATGGCCAAAAAGCTCATCAATTTCAGTGCGTGTGTAACACGCTACTACCGGTTTTCAGTTTTCTGGGTTTTATTTGGGAAACAGGTTACCCGACTACTTTGGTTAACTCGACTTTCTACCGAACCCTAGGTGAACATTCTGCGACAAAACGTCATTTGAAACGTGAACCATCGAAGTATTTAAGTGTAGGGATTGGTCTGCAGGTGTCCATGGAAACCGCCAGCATATCATAACGTAACTTGGCTCTAGGAGCAATCCTAGAAACCCAGGGATCGTCAGCGGGTGTCCAGTCTCCCCACAGAGCACCGGATTTGTCACATTGTCAATGATTTCGCCTCTAATTACAAACACAAGTGAAACGCATGGTTAACGGGTCTACTAAACATTACAGAGATTTGTAATCGCATTCACAGCGTACGGCAATTTACTTCAATTTGAAGACGGGTCGTACCATTTTTTTTCTTTTGTGGCGATTATCATAACCAAAGTTCAATACTAGTTTACTGCTCGTAGCTAAAGATGACGGGCGAAATCATTGACAATACTATAACTAAACCCCTTCAAGTCCAAAAAGGAATAGGCTCCTGTTTGTACAGTCAACTCTCTCTAAGAGGGACACCTTTGGGACCGGCAGTAAGTGTCCGTCTTAGAGAGGTGTCCGTCTTATAGAGAGTCAAATAAAAGGAGTAAAGAAAGGCAGGGACCAACTCTAGGTGTCCGTTTTACAGAGGTGTCCGTTAAGAGAGAGTCGACTGTATACCTTTTTCAACAGAAAGCTCTTCGGCAGATCTTTCACATGGTACTATTTGCTGTTGATCAGCATCTCATGCTATAAAATCCGAAAAAGAGCAACAGCTTTGTTGCAGCCAACTAAAAAGTTAACATTAGTAGTCTGCAACTGCAGCTGTCCTTTGTGTGATCACGCAAAGTACCTGTGGCGTTTAGTGACAACGACAAGCTAGCCGCACACAGTGTTCTTTTAAACTCATCGTTAACTTTAAGTTCTTTATATATATATAAAAAAGAATAGTCGCTGAAGACTAATCCTCTAGCCTGAAGAGGACCTAACCTGTTAACAGTGAGAAGATGACCTGTAAACTGTCGAACCTTTGCTCGAATTTTTGCCTTTCGGCCACTTAAAATTGTACGTAGGACTGGATCAGTTCTGTATGAAATTGCATTATAGGGTTGTTTGAGAGAACTACCGACGCCGTCGCGCCTTGCGGTACAGTAAAACGTGCAACTTGTTTGGCGACTTTGCTGCCAGACGAGTTGAATAGCGATGTTGCGCGTATTGCCAACCACGTTCGAGCATGTCTTGCAGCAAACAAGGCTGCAAGGGTTTTTTTTCGTAAAACGCGCAACATCGTCAATCAACTCGTTTTACAGCAAACTCGCATGACAAGTTGCAAGTATCTTGTTGCTCGTTTTACAGTACTTTTAGATTCGCGAGATCGCAAAAACTGGAAACTGGGTCCAATTTTTTTCCCCAAAACAGTCCCACAGTGCAATTCGTTACAAACTCGACCCAGTCCCACTCTTACCCTTTAAAAAATGGCTAATGTGTCCTTGACAAGCAACAAGAGAACAGATATATAGTACAGTCGCAGTTCTATTATATTCCTTCAGTTTTGTGGTGCAGAAATCCTTTTGGAGGATGCAGGAATATCTATAAGGCATGTGCCGGCTTAGCTGAAGATTTAACAAAGTAGCAGGGCGAGTGTAGGTGTAGATTTCGACTGAGTATGGATCGTACATCGGAGACAAATCTAAGCGCATCCAACATTGGAAGAAGATTTAATAACGCTGTATCTGATGGATCGGCGAACCAGGACTTGATTGGAATGGCATTATCTGCGGACAAAATTAAAAATTAAAATTGTTTGCACGTCACTGAAAAGCCGCAATCAGTAGTTACAACAGAATGGAATTAAATAGGCGACGTTACATGAGACGATTTTAGACTCTTTTATGGCAACAAAATTGTAACGATTTGCAACAATGTCGCCCTAAAGCCTGAAAAAAAGTAATAAACGTGAAAAAATAAAAATAAAAAAATAAAATAAAATAACATAAAATCCAAGCTTCACTGAAATAACTTCTCTGACAAGTATGTTCTCCTTGTGTTGTATCTCATCGGGCGAACTGACTCAAGTCCGGGCGAATCGACTTTCGGGTAAAACGACCGCAACTCCAGTCATGTGCCCAAGAAAATTTTCCACTACCGTTAAACACTGCAAACGCTGGGGAGCATACAGGCCTTCTGCCGCCGACCAAGGCATTTTTGGTTATCGTAATTTCTAATCTTGTTTTCTTTGAACGTTACAATATTTAGGCTTTTTAAAATGTATTTTTTTTGTATCCTCTTATATTGCTTTAAATGGTATAAAATGAAATTACGAATCTTCCGTTAAAGTAGTTTTTAAGACTCAGGGCCCCTATGGAGACCAACGCCCACGCTGAAAGGTGCCACCCCGTTGAAATAAAATTTTATGACTTTACTTATACTTTATGTGCCTACTGCTTTACCTGGGTTGTATTGATAAGCACCGGGGGAGTTGTCCAAAATAAAAACTGAGGACAGATCTTCATTGACTATTGTTAAATCTTTAGTATAGCTACCAAAATCTAACGTACAGTGCTGCAAAATGCAAACAAACTGCATTAGTTCTGACACAAAAACGTAAAATACTTGAATAAAATGTACGGTAATACCGAATCCAGGGGGGGCCCAAGTCTGTTCTGAACAGGGAGGTGCATAGACTAGCTACAAGTCGATCTCTCATAAGTTGTTAAAAGTGAGTGAAGCGAGCATCAACGCATGAGGTCGCGCAGCGACCGGGCTACCGACGAAGTCTCGAGATCGACTTGTTTCTCCAGAATGGATTGGAATCACATTATAAATTCACGCGGGAAATAATGATTGACATATGCTATGTCGGGAGCGGCGTGAAATATCACTCACTGTCCTATTGGTCAATTGTCATGACGTCATCTGTAGAATTTTCGACGGTGAATTTCGCGTCAAACAAGTATGAAAAGGTCTTTTAAAATGGCATAACCAACCAGGAAAAAAAGTAAAGGACTTTTAGAACGCCTAGGAGGTGTAATGACCTTTTTTCCAGTTGTAAAAAATTTGCATTTTAGGGGGTTTAATTTCGGTATTTCCGTATGGACCTTTTTGTGCTTTGACAAAAAAAAATATCTTCTGGTTTTCGTTTTTCAATTTTTTTCAGGTTTTAACCTTAGTGTAAGATTGAGTTTAGCAACTTGGCATCGCATAAAAGCTGTTCCACTCACTGATCCATGACCACAGCTGAGTATTTCGTTCTTTAACACAATAGCTTGTATCAAACGAGGTATAAACAAGAAAAAAGTGGACATGCAATGTAATGTGGATCTCTCCCCAGTAGAATAGTCACCATCAACTGTTAGAGAATAATAAATTCCTCATCCCCTAGTTTGTTTAGGATGATCCATTTAAAGACCCTGATTTACAGCACTTTACCTGTCGGAAGTATCTTCTATTTAACATTCCTCTATTTCTGTCTAAGTTATCAGCAACAGCAGCGCCATAGATCTAAAATACAAGCAAACAATACTTCCAGTGGTAAAACTTACTACAAGCCAAAATCCCATTGGCAGGAGACAGATGAACAAACTTTTGTGAGACAGCACCTGCTGTTTTTCATCCTAACGTCTAACCATTTTCAAATGTCAGAGCAGAGGAAGCACAACCTCCTCAGTAATTTAAAGCCCTTGACAACAGGTCAGATGAGAATCTAGCCTGGACCAGGCACCCTGAATATAGGAAATAATCCAGCTGAGTCTCAAATGGGTACCAGTCGGCGGTACATGTACCTCCCAGCAAAAAAAATTAAGTAAAAAAAAACCAAACTAACACAAAAAAACAAACAAACAAACAACAAAAAAATAAAATGAAATAAAGTAACAAAGAAGACACTCTCTGATGTCTTACCTCCATACTGGCAGTAAAAATCACAAGATCATACCACTGACTCACCTGTCAAAGAAAACAAAATTAAAATCACATTATGGATTTCATAAGTTTTTGTGATGTATACCTTTACATTACACTTAACAAAATCATCCTGTGTCTACATATAAGCACATCAGAGCTGGATTATTAAGCCTTATTGCTGACTTAATTTTTTGGAGGGAGCTGAAAGTTAACACCTAAGTTATTTTTTTATGATCATGGTAGTTTTTTCTTCAGCAAGTTAGAAACTATCCTATGATATGACATTTGCTTGGTTTCAAAGACATCTCTTGTTTTTAAGTAAAGGATTCAGAGACCACTAAACCTTATTATACCCATTAACCCTATCCCATACCATTAACGCACACTCATTTTACAAGCATCGTTTGGGTATGTTTTGATCAAAAAATCATTCTGGTCACCCCTTAAAGAATACTGTTCCTTAATGTTTAAACAATAGAGTACTAAAGTGTGACATCTTAAAAATGAAATTTCTGAAATTATGGGATTTGTCAGGATATTCTGAAAGGACAATGTCCAAGAGGCCTACTTGCCAAAAATGAGCATTTCGGGGCAAATTGTCTCTGAGATCGTAACCAAGTTATCCTTAGAAAACTCCACACAAACCCTTCTAAATTTTTTTTGGGTCGACCCCAAAAAAAATTTAGAAGGATTTGTATGGAGTTTTCTAAGTATAACTGGGCTAAGATCTCAGAGACAATTTGCCCCGAAATGCTCATTTTTGGCAAGTAGGCCTCTTAGACATTGTCCTTTCAGAATATCCCGACAAATCCCATCATTTCAGAAATTTCATCTTTATGACGTCATCACTTTAGTACTCTATGCTCATCTTCTGAAACAAGGAAGTAAAAGGGATACTCACACATTCAAGAAAGAAGTCCACATGAGGTCTCTTGTGAACAAAAAATCTGATTGGGTGATGGTCTATTGTGACCTGTGAAATCAATTAAAAAGCATTTTTTTAATGGTTAGGAAGATGATAAAATCTAAACTGTGCTTTTGGTAGGGGCAAATGACATCTAAGCTAACAACGACTACAGTAATTTATTGGTGAACGATAAACGATAATCCTCGTCTTTCATGATAATAAAAAAATAATGAGATTAAACACAATGTACCAGTAATACACTGTACTGAATCTTTGCAACAACAAAAATTTCATCACGTGTTAGTATCAGTTACAGGTACATGTAGGTAAAATCCATTCCCAGATTAACCAGGATTTTCTTTGTGTTCTAAGATTAATCAGGGTGAGAAAAGTTTAAAATGTTGAACTATACAATCATGTATTCAGGTGCAACTCACTTACTGACAAAACGACATAAGAACCTTTTTATTATGATTTTCCTTAAATCAATACCCTCTTACCCGAAGTACAAAATCTGGAGGAGTTCCGGGTCTTACTGTCTGTCTTTGAACACTAAAGATGAAATGAAAAGAAAAGGTGTATTATTACCTGGTAAGAGTATAACAGTGTAGTATGACAACTTTTTTGCCACGGTTTGTACCCTTTTTTGAACAAAAAATTCAAGGACTTTTCAAGGACACATTTCCCATTTTTCAAGGACTCCATTCGATGCAAAAAAAAGGCTTGAGTGTATGTCTATTTTCAGTTCTGTTTGACAACAAGAGCAATTGGAAGGTCTTTCTGCACGTTTGCTCCTTTTAGGTACATGAAAATCCAGGTTGGACAAAGTTAGCACCGAAATTCAAGGACTTTCCAGCACCCACTGCAATTTTCAAGGACTTTCAAGGCCTTGAATTTTCATTTTAAAAATTCAAGGACTTTCAAGGACTTTTAAGATGTGTGCAAACCCAGTTTTGCCCTTCTCAGATTATTTTATTTCAAAGTGCTAAGAAAACTAGTAAGGATTCCAAAGGGACAATTCAATAACAACAGGATGAAATTAATAGACATACATTGTAGGGGATCATGAATGACTTGTAATAAAACCTTAATCACTTTACTTGTTGTCATATGACAAGACTTAGCTAAGTTATTGTGGGATTCAGTCCAGAGCTTCAGTATGATAATTTTTGTCAACCTTCAGACCTTGGTTATTCTGTCAATATCATTGAAATTTAAATAAATAAACATGCTTCTAAAGCAAGTGGCAGATGGCCACAGACAAGGCACATATTTTTCTTTTCCTGTTAAATGTAAGGTTCCTTACCCATCATGATGTGAATGTATAAGTGTTTCATCCAAGTCAAGGACTAAAGTTTTTCTTTTTACTAGTCCTGCAAATAAAAATACATTATTTTTAGTACCAAGAGGAACACAAAAATTCACAGTTCACACATATATGTTTTAGTTAATCTCTTATCTCAGGTAATTTTTATTTTTCCTTTGTGTCAACTTCATAAGAATACATTACCATACCCAAAAACAAAACAAAAATTATCTGAGGAAAAAAATTAACTACAACATGTATAAAAAAGGGTAAATTTTGTTTTTTTTGGTGATGGGTATACTTACTTAATCTTTGAGTAGATATAGGTGAAAGGGGAAACAATTGATACTTTACAGTCTTGTGTTGTATAACCTGTGTAAAAAGACATTGATTAATTGGTATTGAAAGCAACAATGAATTTAAATATTACAGGTTAGAGCAAAGACCAGCCACCATGGATGGAAGACCAGCCAGGGCTGCTGCGACAGGTAGAGTTAAAGTAGCACTGTCACAACCTCATTTTGTGGTCCTCTTTCTGTCTCATACTCAAAAAATGGGAAGAGGGCAAATATGATTTTGCCAGAAACAACTCCATTGTGCCAAATGCCTCCCTTACAATATGCGTAGCTAGATGCAAAAATTATTACACGATAGGAAAACAAAATAACAATGATGATGATGATGATGATCACCATCATAATGATAATAATAATAATAATAATAATAATAGAATGATTTTACTTAACCTGTGAAATAGGTAGTAGTATACTATGAACTATTATGCACCAATTCAATTGCCTTCTTTTGTTTATTTGTAGCTATTTTGCACTAGTTGTTACTAGTTTTTTCATGGGTCAAGTGAAATTGCTCTAATGATAACAACAACAACAACAACAATAATAATAATAATATTAATAATAACAGTTTGAACACCTTGCACTAGTTTCCGCCTACATGCAAAGGTATAAATCTCAGGGAAAAAGAAGTGTTGGACTGCATAAAATGAAATTAAATTACTGCCACTGACAATATCCAATCAATGAAATAATAATTCACAACATAATCTGTACTTTCTTTGAGCTGTGCAGTAGTGTAACAAGGGATTTAGGTTGGAAACTATGATGTAAATAATATTCAGTAAAACAATGAAAGCAATGACTGGTCCACTATAAAAAGTAAAGTTTTTCCTCTGCCAGCAAAAATGTCAAAGATTTGAATTACATAATTCAGGATAAAAAAAAAGCAAAAACAAAAAAACCTTTCTTGAGTTTGTTACACATGTGCTACTTGGCAACTCAATCAACCTCAAGCTATAAAAGTATATCATACTGCTGGATTCAGAAGTGCCATCAAGTGAGTGAAAACTTTCCCACAGAGAATTGTACATGTGCAATGTACATCAGTTAATTGTTTGCTTCTTATCAACTTCCGTTTTGTAAAGGGCAAAGCTATAACTGAAAGCTTGCAGTTTGTGATGAAAAATGAAAGGTATCAGACAATGCAAACAAACAAATCAAAAGATGCCCCGGGGAAAAAGGCGTGACCTGATAACAACTGAACGTAACCAAATGCCTCAGCTCTTGGCAATTCTAAATGAATGACTGCATAACTTAAGCTTTCAATTTCCTTGTTTGTCTAACAAAACACCTCGTTATTAGCTTGCCAAAGGTGAAGTAATAATAATAATCAAATTCAAATAAAATCGCTGCAGATTCAATAACCCTAACGCCATAACTTTCTATGGGCCACATGAGAGAGCATAGCAGATTTAAAGCAAATTTAATATTTAATTCGCAAAAATATGCACCAGATTGACAACTTGAGCTTATATTGGTGCAAGTTTAAATAATTTGCTTACATACAGATTGCAACGCGGCCACAACATAAGCAAACAAGACATATTATCTGCTTTGATTTTCATCTTGTTCGACTATTTATGTAACTCTCTCCATACCTTTTTTAAGTTCCTTCTCAGAACGTACAGTATGAGTGTCCAAATCTTGATTAGGGCCATCATGAAAAATCGAATTCCTATGATGTTGTATAAACTTCTCAAACAATCCATGGTCGCCAGCACCCACATTGAGAACTTCTTGAAGACACCCGAGCACAAACTCTTGGAAAAAACAAAAACTGTCCGCAAGCTCGAACTCCAAACTTTTGTACTCATAACGCTATATTCTCACCGGTGAAGACACCATGTTTGTGTTCTCAGATCGAAAGCGCATGATTTGCTGGGAACGAGCCTGGCCGCTAAGGGCCCTGGGATAGTTAACCTCGTTATCGCGACAACTTATTCCGAAACGAGGCTTCTAATCCAAGATGGCGGGAGATACGAGGCAAATTTACTAGGTTCTATTTTTCAGCATTTTTTCGGACTTTTTGGAATTCCTGCGTTGTGTTTTCACATCTCACCAAGGTAACTTTATTTTTTCAAAAGCTTTTTACGTGTGTAGTGTGCTCATGGCGTTATTTTCACTTGCTTATTTCCCTAAAATTCCCCCACGTGAGAAGAAAAGTCAGTTTCTCTGGAACAACGTCTAGGCAATTCCAGTCTTTAGTTGATATGTTTCGATTCTGAAAAAACTCTTTTACCTTTGTTTTGCATTCATTTTATTCGTATATCCGTTTGTCGTGGCCATGGCTAAGGGCCTGCTTGTATTTAACTGTGTGGATTTTGTTACTACAGTCTGGCTTATGATGGATCAAAGTTACTCTGGTGTGTACTGTCTTGGAGGGACGAGATCTAGATACCGTTATGCTGTGGCAGGTTTGTTTTCAGATCCTTAAGAAACTGCAGAATATCCTGCGAGCAGAGGTATTTTGGTTGGTCTAATTATACTGCTAGGGCAGCCGAGAGGACCTTCTCAAGAAATAATTCTTAGACCTGTTGAACATGAAAAAGGATTAAATCCATAGATACACGGCGTACACGTGGTTTTGATTAGTTGAACGATGCTATATAGAGTATCTGTCAGCCATAGTGCATGTACCGGTAATCATAATACACATGGTCTTACTGTTTAACTTTAGTATCATAATCACAGAGCATGGTTTTTTGTCATAACTGTTGCTCAGCAGGTTTTGAGAATCATTTGGTCGTTTATCTGACCAGGACTAAGCAAGGAATGTTGAAAAAACTCTCTGCTCACAAGGCACTGAATACTTAGCACTTTTAGCAGGCTTGCCCTGGTTGTTGAAACGTTAGATAGCACCATCCACTAGAAAAATCACTATCCAGTGTATAAGTCTTTGGGCAACCATTGCATTATCCACTACAGCTAGATATGGATTTTTCCAGCGGATGACACTATCAGCCTTTTGAAAAAACTGGGCCCAACTTTGTAACCTGGTTTCCTTCCCTATCCCAGGGATTGCAAATTAGTAAGGAACGCTGGGGTGAAATTATTCAGGGCTCGTAATTAAAAAAAATGTCTGGTCGCAAATTTGCGACTAGTTACGAAAATTTGGTCGCAACTTTGAAAATGTTGGTCGCGAAATTTATTGAGGCCATTTAATCAAGAAATAAGTAGGCTTTTAAATGATTAACGCTTTAATTTTCATTCTTTCAACAGCTTTCATGTCATTTCAAGACTTAATAGTACAGAACGTTTAGCGTCTCGGACAACACCAGTTCATCTAAACGATCAAGTTGAACCTGCGTTAAGGCACATAAATTAGTTAAGGCACATAAATTAGTCAAAGCGATAGATTTCCAAATCGTGAACAGATATTACAGCAGGAAACTGCAGTTCTTAAATGCCTCCAATCTCTGCAAAATAGCAATAACATTTGTACTGGGCGGACATCCGACATGGTTATAGGTTACGTTACGTAACTAAATTCCTTTAGTTTTACCTTTTGTAGGTTTTCCACTGATGACAACACAAGTAACGAATTCTTTTATGTATTAAGCTTTACATCTGAAGTATCAGGGGTGTTACTACAGTGATTATTCAAAGAACCCTGAAGGACTGAATCATTCGATACGACGATACGTGCCATGCGGACATTCCGCCATCTTTGTTTGCTAAACCTCGTTTTCATGTATACGTAGATTCGCAACCCACTTGGAACCGATTTATTTTACATGTAAATCTAAAAATGTGAAAAATAAAAAAGATATGGTTATCATAAAAATGCCTAATCATGTTACTTTTTTCTGATGAAATAAGTAATAGTGGCACTCAACCATACACAAAAAGGCTGAAAAATCAGTAACTATTAATTTTTAACATGGCAAATTGAATTTTGCAATTGACCCCAATACTCTCAAATCCTCGCAAGTTCGAACAGTTTTATGTTTCCCTTCAGAGTTCCGAGTTACCAGGGTTCTACTGTATACTTGAAACAGAGTTACACTTGATCAAACAATGATCGTCTACACATGATTTTATTTAAATCTGTACAGGAAGGTACGTTGGACAACCATCGCTTGTTACTCAACCACAGCTGTGTGAAAATTGCAACAATAATCAGGCTTTAAAAATCCAAGAATTAAATTCATTTGAACCTTTGAGAGAGGTAGGTTCAGCAGTGGTATTCTCTTCACTGATCTCTATTCATATTCCATAGTACTTATGAGGAGAATTTGTGAAATGATCAAGAACGCTTTTAGTCTGTGATCATTTCCTATATTCTCAACTCCAGAATGTTTATTTAAGTAGATATCCATATGATATGTTAAGGAGAAATTGGATGATGGTCACTTTCAGGGGTCAAAGTGTTAGCCTTGTCACTCCTGATCACACGTAAGCTGCAAAAGAAATGGTAAACTGCATGACAATAAACCTTTTTTTCTTTTGGTGGTATTTAAAGCACAAAGCAAAGGCTATTGGGGCCATGCAAATATATTAAGTAATGGTCCAGATAAGAAGGAAAGGACCAAAAGGCAGTGAACATGTCGGTATGCAAAAAGGTGCTCACTTTACTATTGTCTCTACCATGGTTCTGATTGGTTTAAATATCAAATTTTACGAAATCTTCGCAAAGCAGCATGTATATTAATCCCTTTTTTTCTATCCAACTTCCTTATAACAAAATCTCGTCTGAGTCTAAATAACATAGAAATCGTATGTGCGGATCGTGTAAAATTGTGAACACTTCTTGGCCATTATTTGCAACTCTTGTGATTGGTCGAAATGTTTTAACACAAAAATACACCCCTTAAAAGTGGAGTTCAAATACATTTTCTTTCGTAAACTGCCTTTTTGTAGATTTGTGCTTTCTCTGCGTAAAAATGAAAACATTTCTATGTGAGGAAAGTGTATTGCGCCACAACAAAACAAATTGCTTCCCTTCTTACTTGGATCATTACTTAATAACAAATATTTCCAATGGAAGACATGAAAATGTTAAAAAACATACTTGGTTGATTGAAAGCAAACTATTTGAAGGTGTGCTCAATATTCTTTCTGGAATGATAAACAAGTCAAAGATGCAAAATACCAGAGATGCAAAGAACTCTATTTGTATTTGCCAATATATATTATGCCCTGCTAGAGGGGTATTTAAAGGGTGTAATTTATTATATTTTAAAGTTGTTCTGTATCCTTCTATCTGATCTATTTTGATTGGTCACTGGTTATTTTATAGTGTGATTTTGAGTCTGAACTGAATCCTCACAAGCAGAAACTGGATCAGAAATACCAACTATGCCAATCATGCCAAGACATTGTTAATCATCATTTGAAGACACAAGCCATTGATCTCAAAACATTCTTACTGGACAGTCACCTTCAACAGTCCAAGTCTACTCCAACAAAGGTGTGTTTATTTATAGTGCAGAGGATTTAGTAGTTCTGCAGGCCAGTGTATCTGGAAAAGAGCTCTTGTTGTCCAGGAAATGTGTCAGCATGATAGTGAAGCTTAAAAATATTTGTGGTTTTGATTTTTTTGACTGATATGATAAGAATTTGGCCATCATGTATATAAATGCTCTCAATAATTTATTAGTAATTAATTTTAGTCATGTTCAAAAGTACAATGTACAGAACTTTACTTACAGATCTCACCAACCTCCTGACTTACCCTCAAGTGGTTTTTCCAACTGGAGTGAAAAAAAAAATATTGTTATTGTGGGTGAGAAGAGGAGCCCGCTATCCTAATCTCCAGATTGTTATCACACATGCATTGCATGTATATAGCCAGCATTTGTTTGGACTTCACTCAGAATGAATGGAATGCACAGAATGCAACTTGGTCACATACATTTGGACCTTCACTCATAATCTGATCACCTATGTGAAACTTACACAAAGCACTCTAACACAGTGATGGAGCAATAATTATTATTTTGACCTTCGATTTTGTCACCCACACTCCATAACCATTGATTATTACTAGTACTAGTAAATACACCATGATACACTGAGTGCAGTGAAAGCTGTAGAGAGGGGGGAGGGGTAGGGGTAGGGCACTTGGTTAGGGGTGTTCATTCTGCTAGGGCCTTGGATCCCCTGCCCTATTCTAGACTTAAATTGTACTTGCCAGTGACCTCACAGTGGGTAAAGTGTCCTAGCCTTATTTCAGTATTAATTTAGGATGGGCAAGAAAGATATGATCAAAGTACAGCGACCCATCTTGGATCCATCGTGGTCAGCGGCCAGCAAGCATGATGGCCACGTTTTTTCTAGCTCTGCTAGACTTCATTTGATTTTTCTATTTTTTTCTGTTTTTGACTTACTTTGAACTTTTTTTCACAAAAAAATTAAGAACTAAGGGACAAAGAATGTAACTTTAAGGGGCACAATATTAGTTTATCTAGTCATGCCCCTCTCCTCTCCTTCCTATATACAGTGTGATTTAATATTTAAGTGCTGTAATTCTGTATTTTACTTACCTTTTTTACCTTGTATCTAATTCTGTATTATCATCCACTATGGTTTGGAGAAACAAATAAAATGAAAATGAAATGAAATGAAAGGAAATCTTGGATCAAAAAGGTCAAAATTGGGACCCCTTGATACACCTACAATAATTATTACTGTAGAAGGTAAAAGTTGGGACCCACTCAATGACATAATTATAACCATATAGCTACCTATAAGTTGTCCCCCACCCCCTCCCCCCTCCCCAATCCAACACCAGAATGTTATCCCAAGGTTATAAATTATTTGAGTTCAAGGTAATAATATTAATGAACATTTCCATTCCGTCATTTTGTTTGATGTTCCATGCAGCTTCTTAAAAGTTCTTCATCTCCTGAATCAATTTTTTTGGTGCTGGTTCAGTTGGTCTGTGTTCTTCTTGCTTCTTTGCTGGTTTGTTCTGAATATCATCCTGATAGCCATAGCATGTGTGGTGAGTTACACAAATTATTATTTGAATAAATCATATGACAGCATTGTCATTAGTAGCTTACTACCTGATTGAAAATCTCCAGCTACGCTTTGTACGTGTAGTTCTTTGTAGGACACAAGTTTTGTTGGGAAAATATTCCTGTATTGCTATTAATATTTACAAAATGTCAATGAATTGCACTAACCGTGATCAGTCAGAGCAAGAATTAGTTTTATTTTACATGTAGTCATGGTGTATGATCCACATTTTCTTGAAATGTGTTTGTGTTTTTTACCATTGCAGGTAAAAATTACTCTTTTTGGAACAGTCCTCATGTGTTACACAGTACTTTTTTCTCTTATTTAACCTCTTCACATCACAACTTTACAGCCAAGCAAATAATGCTTCGCTTCCCCGGCCTTGTTAAAAGTATAATGATCTCACTGTGGTCAAAAGGGTTGGAACTGACTTTCTGTTTGTCAAGTAAGTGGCATTTTATGAAACAGTCTAAAATCTCTCAATAGGCTGACTGAATGCTAGACTATGAGAAGTCTCTCTTTTTTCTTAGTCCTTCGAACAAAACATGTGAGACATGCAAATTACTATGCGTGTGACTGCTGCTTGACACACTCACTCACGCGTGCACTCCCCTCACTAAATATGAAGAAAAATATAGACTGCTTACAGTCCAACTGAATGCTCTCATGAGCTAAAATACATGAAGTTCTTGAGCGCTGATTAACTGAATTTTTCTTATACAATTTGTAAATTTTTCAGTTTTGAATGTTCTAAGGTTGAAAAAGCAAAAAAATAAATTCTGAAAGTCATTTTTTGATTTGAACAAACAAACAAAAAAAGCAAACAAAACCAATGGTCAAACCAAAGGACTTCATCCACAGAATGAAAGTTTACATTTAGATCTACATAGGTAATTTCAAGTACCATGTGAACATACTGTTGATCAGGTTTCATGTGAATTGTCACCCAGAAGCCAAAGATCTGTTATGCTTGCGTCATTTCATTTTGTTTTTTGTTTTGGTTAGGTTTGACGAAAAGGAGATACTTGCATGTTTCTTTGGCTTGCTTGTTACTAAATATCCTGATATTTTTGAAGAGAAAAACCAGGTATTTAAAATAATAATAAGTGGAGGTTTCACTACCGTGTTGTCTAAAGATATAGATGTAAAACATAACGGAATACAACGTATGTAGTCATCGTGGGGAGAATTACCTATCGCAAAGCTTAATGGGCAAGAATTTCCCTATAAGCGTGAATTGTTGCTGGGCTATAGAGCTACCTTACTGGTACTTAATTCTGTGGGTGTTAAATTTTTCTTTTTTTGTGATTGTAGGAAAATCGCTAAATTAAAGACCCTCGTGTAAAAATCCCCGCGAAATTTAATCCCCATATAAAATGCAAAAAACAGAAAAAAATCTGCATATGTAGTAGCAATACCTTGATATGTATCGAGAAATTCACAAATTATTAAGTGATTTTCCTGGTAAGTTTCAGTCTGTATCTTGTGTCGTGAAATAACGTTAATTTGTAAAGATTTCACATGAAGTATAGAATCCAGCTATAATCTTCATGTTCCAGATTATCTAAGAAATTTTAAAATTAAGTTCAGACTTTTTGACTGAATTTGAGAACGCTTGATCGCGAAATTCAATGCCTCTTTTCACATTTGCCTGTTGAAATCGCGAACGTAGGAACCCCTCAAAATACTGCTTTGCCAAAATTAAGTACCCATAAGGCAGCGTTTTCACATAAAGTCACCTCCCCTATGTTGGTGTCCAAAACAATTAAGCAGTGGTCATGTTGGTGTCCCAAACTATTCCTGTGGTAGTTGAACTGTTTTCTTATGTAAACGCTTTCTCTTTTCGCAATTAAATGAGGGTCCCCAATAGGTCAATCCTGTGATACCATCCAAAATTTCGTGCAATCCCGTGATCCCGAGGGTTATTTTTGGCATTCCACCTCCCGCGCATACTTTCAATCCCGAATCTTACCTGATTTTGCTTTAAAATCCCGAATCCCGAGCCTCAAATAAGGGAAATCCCGGATCCCAAAAAACCTATTGGGGACCGTCTTGAGTTGCATAGCGACTTGCCATTTGAGTGAAAACTCACAACACAGCGTATAAGCTCCCACCTAAAGAGTTTGGTTATGGTTAGTGGTTGCTAATGTGAGGCAAGGGTAGCCTGTTCCAGGCTGTCAGATAGTGGGGATGACACGCGAAAGTGAGCGGCGTGCGAAAATATGAGGGCGTGATTTGGAAAAAGGGGGCGCTTTCTCAGGCGAACTAGACCATCTCAGAGCCTGGAACAGGCTAAAGTAAAGGGGGCAGGGAGTGGGGTCTAATCCTGATTTGAGGAGAAACAAAATCCAAAGCAGTGTATTTCTTGTTTTATAGAAGCACTGTAATTACATGTTTGGTTACATATTTGGTTATTTGGTCAACTATGCAACCTTTGAAAAGTTTTAAACCGTTTCAAAGTACCTGACCTCTCAGGAAACAGCTCTCAAATTTATGAATGTTATTGGTCTGCTTGCAAAAAGATCTTGAGAATCTTTTGTTTTCAGAAATCGTTGTGATTAGACAATCTTCCTCCGAGTGCGCCGGTTCCTCTAGTAGCACGATAAAAGGTAGAAACGGACTTGAAATTGCGTGGACTGATTCTTCTGTGAGTTAATGCATTATAACATTATTGCTGCTTTGCATTTTTGCAGATTTGGTATTCTGACTCTGTTATCTTGGACTGTCCTGTCTGTTTTAAGATTTTGGTGAGTAATATGAAGTAGAAAAACATCTTTTGCTGAAACAATTTATTGATATGGTGATTTATTCTCGTGATTCTTTGTTTGGTGGGCGGGGGATGCCTCGTGCTAAATAAACCAGGTTAAGCTGTGGCCATGTAGTCATTGGCCGTGCGCAAATCAGTCGTTTGGTTAATGTCCTCTTCACTAATTAGGTTTTTTCTTTACCCATGAGAGGTGAAGAAAAAAGAAACATGAAGTAAAAGGATTCAGCATTATAATTCGTGGTTTGTTTTTTTTCTTTCAGGGAATTGTTTTGGTGGAAGAGTGACTGTAGATGGCGATTCATCGGTGCAACATTATGTTGGTTTCTCAGCTCCTCTTTATTTCTGTTCTCTCTTCTGTCATACTCAAGAGTGATGGGAAAACACAAGAAAAGAAGGTTACTGGATGCTTTGCTAGAGCTGATATTTAACAATTATTGCATGAGGCTGAGTTAGCCTGCATATAGGTGAACCCTTCCCCCGTTTTTCCTTTGTTTGGGGGAGGGTGCGGCTATACGTAGGCTAAGGCTGAGTATCATCTGAAAAATTACGGAGATCGAAGGCCGAGACGGACTTCACCCTCCTCGATCTCCATAATTCTTCACATGATACGAAAGTCGATGTGTTTTATTACTCATTCAAAATAATTCCTTGTTTAAAAACAAGCTAAAAAACATGCATACCTCCATCGATGTTAAGTTCATCTTTAATTGCCTGTTTATCAGCAAGTTTAGGAGATAAAGGGTTGTTCAGTTCTGTAAATATAGCTGATGTCGTCCGTCGAGTTGTATTCTTGCAGTTCTTGCTATGTTTTTGGCGAACAGTTCACCTATTTCTTCATCGCGAAACGAGTGAAATTAATGTTATGCTATTTTCTACTCACATTATATGCCAAATCGAAAAATATCTGAAACCACTATCTCTCTGTATGTAAACCATTTCAAGGCGATTTATGGTGGAAACAAATGAAAAAGGAAACCGTTCCTGCCGGCGTGCTTCCAGTCTTATTCAATATGGGGCCAAACGCATCCCTACTTAAATCAATCCACCCAAAAAACTAATTACCAAGTTTTCCTACCATAAAAAATTCCGGAATCGAAAATTTCAACCCCCGCAAAATATCGGTATCTCCGTCACTTGAAGGTTATGTGAGTGATTTGCATGATAGCTCGCTTTATTAAATAACCAATAACTTCTGTTGTAATACGTCCTGAATGTCGTTTCTCCCTGTTGAGTATGACTGTTGTATTTGTAAAAAATTACAGATATCATATTTCTCCGAGCAAGTCAAGCCCAGATGAACATCAGACCACTGAATGTGAAATCATGGAGATTGACAGTGAGGTAAAATACCTTGAAAAATTGAATATGATTTTAACTATTTTAAAATCTCTTTTCATGCTTCATGCTCCTTTACATTTTGAGTCAATTATTATTTAGCCTGCAAGCAGGCTCACTTGTGCGAGTTCGTGGAAAATGTTTGGCGGAGGAGCTACCATCCCACAAGGAGTCCTCGGCCCACTTTACTCGAGGGATGGCGGTTCCGCCGCCAAAAACTTTTCCCGAACTCGCAGAAGTGAGCCCGCTCGCAGGCTAATTATTAATGTTCGAGGAGCCCTGTAAAAAAAATTATAAAATTCTAATGTTGGATGAATTTGGCCACAAGAATGGCATATAAAGCTGGGTCAACCCAGATACATAAGAAGATTATCCCTGCATCGAAGGTGAGGGGACACCCCAGACTATCCAGGCTCGAGTAAAGTAGAGCTAACAGGAAGGAAGGAAGGAGAAAATGTTTCCTAAATTTCTTGTTGCAGTGATTTTAATTCTTGCTAATTAGAAGCCTGATTTTAATTTTTTTCAGTGCACTCCTCCAAATAATAAGATAGCAACTGAACTAGACTACAATTTGAATGGCTTGTCATTGGACGGCTTGCGAACAGAAAGAAGAAATGGCTTCCATACACACCACTCATCCCCAGTCAACTCTGATAGGACAGGTATTATTGGAAAGTAAGCGTAGGTAGGCAGATAGCCTAGTCTGCAAATACAGCCTCGCTCCTCGGTCTTCGCGTGGACGTTCCTAGCGGCGAGTGGCGAGGAGAGATGGCTGTTAGGCCACTGCAAAAAAATACCATAATATTCTCAAAATTGTCGTGTGGGTAGTACTTCATGTAAACCTTACTTTTGCATTATCTTTAGTGCCCGATTTGCACGTGCAATGCGGGTCAGTTTGTCGAAAATTTGCATACTCAGCGTATTTGCGCAAATGTTCGACCTTGGTCAAAGTGTACTTTATTACTTTTGTCTTTTCATTCGTTCAGGAATTTGGTAACGAAAGAAGTGTGTTGGAAGGTCTCCTTAAACAAGGGAAAAAACAACGCGGACAAGAAAGAACGACGTTTCGGTGTCTTCTTGACGTCATTTTCAAGTTCAAAATGCTCGCTGATAAACTGTCAAGATGACACCGAAACGTCGTTCTTTCTCCGCGTTGTTTTTTACTTGTTTCTGTATAACTAAACCTTTTCTTGTTAAGGTCGCCTTAATCAGAAAAAGCCACTGGTTCTATAGCCTCCCCCGTAAACGTTCTTAGGGGTTCGTCGCCTCACAAACGTCTGCGTGGGAGGCTGCTGGTTCTAGTGCAAGCCTCCTGTGCGTACTCTGGATTCTATTTTTGGAAACCGGCCATTGCTCGTGCAGTTCGTGCACAGAACACAAGATTATGTGAACGTCAGGTTTACATGAAACTGTATCCAAGCGGCAATTTGAGAATATTATGGTAGTTTTCAAAGTGGCCTATTCCTAGGCTACAGGTATCTTAACTCGGTTCGAAGTTGCCTGGTCCCTTAACGCCGTTTTCCCAGGCCTTCGCGGTCAATTCATTTCGGTGACGTAGGCGACTCGCTCGGACCACGTGACCCGATATGCTTAGACTGCGCAGAATATTGAGGCCTAGGAACTAGGCAAGGTTCAAAGAAGATTGAGTTGACTTGACTTGACCGTTGTTTTCGTGAGTAAACACTGTTGTTTATTTCGTAGGATCTTTCTGGAGACAAAATGTAGCAATTAATAACGAGGAATCACCCTTAGTTTCCATGCAGCAAAGACCCCTAATAGTTCCAGCTACATTGCATTTCTCAGGCCTTCCACAAAAATCCAGCATCTATCCTCAAGAAGCGATAACTGGTAAGACAATCTGACTTTTTTTTTTTTTCGTGGCGTGCATAGTTTTTATTTTACCTGGCATCTCAGTTAACTTGCATGAGTTTTCCTCTTTTTTTTCCCACCCCAACCCTCTATCGCTTTTCTAACGGTTTATCCATCACTAGCCTTTGTACAGACTCAGGAAAAATCCCCTTCTCGGATTTTTCTTGAGAGGCGAGGGTCTTTACACAGGCAGGAGGGTGATGGACTCCTGACACAGGCTATCCATTACTAGAGTCTTTTTTCTTTTATTTTTTCATTTGTCCTTACTTTTATAATAGCACGTTTTGGTGGCACTACAGGTTTCAGTTTAATTATATTTACTAAGGTCTGGCGCTTTTCGCTTAAAAGTAATCAAACAGCGTAAATTACAAAACCATGTGTCCAACACCTCACTGCTCCACTGCACGTTGAATTTTCATCTCTCCTCTAGGTGTTCAATATGCGATGACTGAAAAACTGCGTCTTGTGTTTGATGAGCTTTACGGGTTTTCTATAAATTCATATTTTCCACTGTCAACTGCACCACGAAAGTCACCTTCCGGTTAAGCGTTTTCGTCGGTTCCTAACTCCTGTCCGTAAGAGTCGGTGTTCGTTTCTAGCCCGCGACCAAATTGATAAAACATTTTCAAGTGCAATTTATAAGTGTGGTTATTGTTTTTCAACTCCGAAGCAATTGCTACGCTTGTAAATTACGCTTGTATACTGAAGTTTTCTTAAATCAGCTCAGGTATACGCAAGGGGGGAGTTGCATGATTTCATTTGCTACACGCAACTATTTATTTAGTTATTTATTTAGTTATTTCATATTTAATAAACGCTTTTTATTGTTTTCAATATTCTTTTTAGTCACTCGACCTGTCGGTTCAACTCCTCGTGCTGACTCTTCGGATGACGATACTTTTTCGGATTCAACGGAGGAGGAACCTTGCAAGGTGAGAAAGAAGTTATTTCTCACAGCTTATAAAATAGCGTGCGTGGCAGGCGTTAAAAGGGGAAGGGAAAAGGGAAATTTGGGCGCGCGAGATCGCTTGTAGCGCGTGTGTCCCTCGTCCCTCGCCCGTGGTCTCGCGCCCTAATTCCCTTCCCTTTCCCTTTCGAACGCCTGCCACGCAGGCTACTTATAAAACTACTCGCAGAACTAAGGCCGCGCCAGTGTGGAGAAAATTTGTCACGAACAGAAGGGTCACTACCCTACCCGAGCCACCCTGGCGGAGCCAACTTTTCATACATTTCCTTACAAAACGTTGCGAACCGTTTACATGAGAAAAAAGGCTAGAAGGCTGGGTCAGCCTTTTTGGATGGTAGGTCACCCTCCTAGCTGAGCCATTTTTCTGCATATAAACACTTTGGTTCACCCAGCCAGGTCAACTGGGTCAAAGTGGGTCAGAGCACGCGCGAGCGCTGTTTTTGACAATCAGGATCCCGTTTTTCGAAAGCCCGGCATTTTATTTACTAGCTCAGTCCAATCTCATCTCGTAAGGATGTATTTTCACTGTCGCGTAATTTTTATATTACGTGTACGCGCGTAAATAAAAAGAGGCAATGTATGGAAGGTCACGCGTACAGGTAAATGTTGAGCCTTGCTCAACTTTTACTTTTACGCGCGTCCTTTCATAGATTGCTTCTAGCATTTTTTTTACGCTCGTAAAATTTACTTGCGTACACACGTAAAAATTACGCGACAGTGGAAATCCACCTTAACGAATAGACTTCGCCTTGTACCATAGGGCACCAATGTTTGATGCTGCTACTCTTGATTTACATATTACAGAACTTGAAAATGTGGAACAATAAGCGGCCGAGCCCCGTAAAGAATGCAAAGAAAGTAAAAAGATGCTCATCGAAAAGACAGGCAGGGAGTCAGAGAAGACGTTTTTTGAGTGCCAGAACGCTTTTGCTACTTGTAAGCTTACTTTTAAACCTATATTTTCTTATTTTATTTACCGAGTGGCCCGCACGATTTTTACATTCTCTGTTGAAAATTTTAATAAGATTATACTGAGTTTTACGCTGTTAAGAATGTATATTTTTTCCATCAAATTCATATTAAATTATTACAAGCGTAGAATAATAGGTTGCTTTTCAAAGGATTCAAGTTAATGTAAGGATAGTTGAATAAACTGTTAGCAATCGCAGGTGCTATAGGGGGCCATTTTGAATGGGTATGTGTTGTGACCAAGTTGCCTTAATGCGCAACTTTTTAAAAGGGACCTTACTATCTGAGAATAGCAAAGCCGGTGAAAACGTGACTGAAAAACTGAATTCGCGTAGTCTCAAACTGATTCTCGCGATTATTCTAACTTGCTTAGTTATTTTAAGACTGGCAAATTAAGTTGGTGCTGAATTCAGGGGACCGAGTTCGAGCTCCGATAGATACTATAAAAAATTTCCAGTATCATCTTGCTGTTCAAGGGACGGAAACAAAATGCGCAGAAAAGTGTGATGCTTGTGCTTGAAATTCCCTTTCCCGTTACATAAGATCCCTATTGGGATGTAGCAGCTCTCCTAACCCTAAAAGCCAATTGGTTCGATACCCTAACCGTCAAACAATGGGAAATAATGATAAACAATGATGTGTTGTTGTTTTCTCCACCTATGAGGAAACACCTTACGAGCAGCTCCTACATTACTGCCCGACTGAGGAGCGTTAGCAACAACGACAGCGACCGTAGGGAAAGCGTCACCATTAAAAAGTCTTCGGGTTTAAAGTCTGCCGAGATTATTTCAATTTGCCTAAAATGTCAAATGCGAGAAATTTCTCAGGAATTGAATTCTTGGCGACCGAACTTAAGTGTAGAGGGACAAAGAAAACGTTTTGTCCTGATATGTTTACGTCCTCCATAAAACGTCGTCCAGCGAGGTAATTTCATGCTACCTCGTTCCCAGGGTTCTCTCTCTTAGGTTGAATTGTACGTTATATTCGTGCAGTGGCGGCAAAGAAATGTACGAAAAAGGGCACATGCAAAATTGCTGCACGTGCAAAATTGTTGCCGTTGCCGTAGTGAACTTACGCAACAGGACGGGAGAGGAAAGAAGACGGCAAACCTTGTGTGACAAGCGTGACAATAATTTTGTTTGAAATAACTTTTCGCCAAAATTCACTTTCCTTTAAACAGATCTTTTTGTAAAAAAACAGAAAACATTGATGTTAAGTGCAGATCACGACAAAACACGTAAGAAATAGCCTTGTCACGTCTGTCACACGTGAGCGTTCTGCCGTCTTCTTCTTCCTGCCGTCCTGTTGCGTAAACTCACTATTGCTCCACAATAGCCAACTATGAAGCACTGGTGTCTCCAAAACAGTCCCATGGTCCATTTCGACTTAACTCCTACCCGGTCATAAGTGCACCTCACACTGGTGTGCGACAATTATCCCACGATTACAGCAGTCGTTGCAAGAGTGGGTCCTGGGATAAAATTCAGTTATATGTTAAGGCCGTTTTCCCTGATAAGCTTTACACTCGTGTACATTATTTCACATTCAAATCTGAACAAATTTTATTTGGAACCGTTCATGTTCACCTATATTTCTTCTGTACTGTTGGTCAAATTTAAAATGCAACAGCAGACAAATGTAACATAGGCACCTTTAATATTTAGCCATTAAAAAGAACATGCTTTCAACGGTGGTCAAGAAACACAGGACAACCAATCCTGTACCCACAAATCTGTGACCAGAGCTCTCCACTGTTGGTTTCCCTGTAGAGGGTCCATAGCTTGTGAGTTTTTCATGCATTAGAACTGTAACAGAGCCATCCTTTGGCTTGTACTGGCTCACTCCCAAGGGCGCATGCTCTCTGGTGTGGTTGTTGTGAATCATCCAATAGATACTTGCCTGAGGATCCTAAAACAAAGAACGTTTTTAAGGTTCAAACTATCCATTAAAAGTAATTTTATATACAGTAGAATCCCGATTTTTCTTTTGCTCTTGATTTTTCAAACGTCCCAGAGGTGCGAAAGATGTTTTTCACACGAGAGAAAAACCCTTCCCCAACATGATCTACATGACGACTTTCGCTTCTGCCACTTAACCAGAAAAGTCTTCAGGAGAGAAGTTGTATTTAGTTGCATAAAAAGAGTTTCTGGCTTTAAAAGTCCTATTACGTTCGAGATAAAAGGGCAAACGCGCGAGGACGAGGACGTTGTCTTCTCCCTCGCGTGCTTGCCTCGCTTGCTCGCACATGACATGCTCGCCCATACGACAATCCTGAAGGAGTGCTAGCAGGCTATAGATAGACCAAGGTCTTCAAGGGCTGTTGTTCGTTCTTTCACTTCCCCTTTGAATTCATAAGTGAGGGATGAAGTAGAGAAGACCCTTCCCTTAAGGACACCTCCCAATGAATGAGAGAGGTCTCATGTCACAGCCAGCATCTTCTCAAACAGACCTTGATTTGGTGGTTCGGCCAGGGCTCAAAACCCGCGACCTCAGTACCACTCGGCAAAGTAGCGCTTATCCAACTAATAAGCTTAACAGGCAGGTAGCTAAGAAGCTTTTACATGAAAAAGGCAAAAAGCTACTTCCCGAGGGGAAAAAACTACTTCCCCAAGGGGAAAAAATGCTTCTTCCCCAAGGGGAAACATTAATTTCCCAGGGGTAAAAGCTACTCCCAGCTGGAAAACGCTACTTTCTTTTGGGGGAAACGTTTCATTCCTTGGCCGTAAACTACCCCCAGGGAAAAAAGGGACTTCCCAAGGGGGAACCCTTAGAAAAAACGTTAGTGTAACAACATTAGCCAATCAGTTTGAAGGGAAATTAACGCACTCTTTGTAATTAATTTGTTATTTCCGTTGGGGGCCCGTTACATGGACCTCGGCGATGCTTCGCAGACATACCTTTCTAGTCGTGATTGGTTTACGCAAGTAAGTAGAAACACTTACCTGTGCGGTGCCGTTAAAGGCAGTAACAGAATGCCCCAGTCCACCATGGTAAGTAGAGACGTATCTATTGAAAGGACCTTCCGGATCCTCATCGGCAACCTTGTTTATTATATCCAAAAGAACACTGCCGTTTGTGACTTGAGTGGTGTGTGGAGCTGGGATTGGTTTTCCAACTAGCGTCACGTTCCAGTCCAATGCAATGGTTACAGTGATGGGCGAGGCTGGCGACTAGATGAAAGGAAGTGGATGTACGTAGTTAAGTGGAAATTTTTCTTATGTGTAGATTACGCTATTGCTTATGGTTATCTTTTAAATGCCAGCACCCATCAGCCTATAACTCTAATTCACAGACTAAAGAGGTGCCACATGACTTCAATCTACAATGACAGTAAACGACACTACAGAAAGTACTGGTCAGTAGCTTCCTTCTTTATGACCACACCTAAAGATTTCCTTTCATCGACTACCTTACATTGCGGAACACATAGCCTGATCTCGCCTGACCTCTCGCGGCTCCTCCAAATGGAGAGCTTGCTCGTAGGCTACGAGGCACAATGTACAGTATCGCAGGACAGGGCGAAGGATTTTCGCGTTTAGCGTTCATTTGATTGGCCGTCTTTCTAGAATCAAAACTGCATGGTTAGAATGCCATGTGCTGCGAAACAAACAGCGTCACATGACGAGCCAAGTGTAGGAAACGCCGTCGCTTTCTAACGGACAGTACAAGCAATGACATCTTGGCTATATACGATGATGATGATGACGACAACGACGAAGAATCTGGTATATTTTGAACTCACAATGACCTGGTTTCCAAATGGCTTGATTAGCTCAAGGGATGGAGCGTTACGCCCGGGCATTATAAAAGGCAGGGTTCGATATTTCCGGTATGAAGCACGAATTTTTCAGGTTCTTTGTCAACCACTTGGGTTGTTCATTCTACTGCAAAAATCAGGCTCACTTTCATGTCTTTATCCGCAAATATTATTCATTTCATGTATTTCAATTCATGATAATATTTTTTTAATGATAATGATAAACTCAGTGCCATGAAAGCGGACGCATTCGTTCGCTCTTTTTTGCTGAGCCTAGCGACCAATCAGCAAGAGAAGGGCACTCCGGCCCACAGCGATAATGATCTCACTTGTGTTCTGTCCTTTCTACAAGACTCCCTTACCTGGTGAGAGCTCGAGGCTGGTTTGCAATATCCACTCGTAGTGTGATTATGATCGGAGTCAGCAGAGTATGTAGTGAAACGGAAAATGATACTGGAACCATTTTCA